AATGTTCTGCATCTGGTCCAGACACAACCCTGTGAAGGTGGAGATTACATCACATTCACCATTTCTATACAGAGCTCCTAGTATAAACATGGTGCCCAGTACACAGAAAGCTCTCAGAACTCTGTTGTAGAAAGGAATGTATATTGTGTCCCCACCACATGCCAGACACTGGTATATGCTGTCCATATACAGGACTCAGCTCTTAGGAAGAAAGTAAGATATAGAAAGATGAAGTATCATGGCTGGAGTTAGCACAGCAGGGAAGTGGTCAGGCAGGGGTTTGAAAGTGCATTTGTCAAATTCTACAGAAGTGTCATTCCCAAGCCTGGTACCGTGCCTCTGCATTGCAGACCAGGAGGAAACAAGGCAGGAACAAACCAATTGTGTTGAAACTGTCTTTCCCTAGGATATGAGGATGATGATCCTGGGAACCCAAGAACTCCCAAAACACAGTTTCAAAGCCATCAGTTTAACAATGGAAACGGCTTGAAGGCCTCCAAAGAAGTAAACCCAGCAAGGACTGCTGACCTTTGTTGAGCTCTTTATGTGCAGGTACTGTGCTGGGCATCTGATAGGCATTATCTCACTGGCTCCTCCCTTTTCTCCCATAAGGGAGACACAGCCGTTATCCTCAGTGTACAGGTGAGAAAACAGAGACTCAGAGGTGAAGCACCTTGCCCACGATCAAGTAAGCAGGAAGTAGGGGTGGCACATTCTAACTGCTCTGCTTTACTGCCCCTGTGTACGGGTGGAGCCTCATTTACAAGCCACCTGAGCCTCTGTCTGGAACTGTCATTGCTGTCACCTTTCCCTTCTCCTTCCTGACCACCCCACCACCAAGGATAGAAAACACCTTCTGGATGCCTCCCTCATGTCACTCTGAGGTCTGTACACAAAGCACTGTTTGTGAGGCTTGGGGAGGAAGGTCTTCATTTATCAAACAGGAGAAGCACCATCGACCACACATGACCTGGCACCTGCTACCAGAGATGGCACAGAAGAGGGGCTGCATAAATGTCTCTTGAGCTAAATTGAGATCGCTTGAATGAAAGGACAGTCACTGTGGAATCTGGCCGTGTTTTGGGATTTCCTAGCTGCCAGCTAACACGATCATTCTCTCCAAGAAGAAACTAGGTCTATGCCAATACCCTTGGCTATTCTGCTAACATGCCACTACCCTCAGATTGCTTAAATGAGAGAGAGACTATAAACAGGCAGAAGGAGACAGAAGAATGGCGATCAGGTATACACTTGTCACTTTGGGAGGAAGGCGAACTCTGTAAGGTGACTAGGTTACCATTTAATGGCATCCTTAAGAGCATGAACCAGAATTAGGTATTTCCTCAAAATAACCTTTTTAAAAATAAGAATGCAAGTTTGTAATTTATATTTCTTTTTGTGCAACAAATTTGAGTGTCATAAAAATGGTTAAAAAGTCTTCCTATGGTAGCTTTTTCTAAACTTTTATGAACATCTGCCACATTCATTTGAAGTTTAAAAAATTCTGGCACATATGCAAAGGCATAATAAGGTGCCTATAGCTTTCAAGAAAAAATAACAAGACAGTCAAAAATAAGCCTTTTGCTGAATTGCCAGTAAGAAAACTAGTGTAGCAAGAGGAGATGGGCCTTCCTGAGCACCTTCCGTAAAGAGCTTTCCTTTGGCCCCAGATCTGAATTGGAGGTTCCTGCAGGAAACCGCAGGGGAAGCATCCCTTTCACCTGAAGGGTACAATGGAACTAGATAAACCCAATCAGAAAGTACAACTACGGCACTCAGAAGCTGAGCTGAAACTCCAGGGAGGAGGTCAGGAGACTGAATTCTAAGATTCGGTAGTTCACGGCTGCCCCACACACCCAGGAAACACTTCTTTGTTCAGAAAGTGTCTTGGCTGGTTTCAAGAGTGGGGCAACTCCCATTTTTGTTTTTATTTTTGTGCTGACTACACAGGAGTTCAGCACAGCAAACTCCTTCCCAGCCTCTGTCAATCAGCAGGGCTAAGGTCTATCTTAGCCAGTACCCCCTGAGCCTTCTCCCTTAACGCCCTTCAAAGGCTGAGCAGAAGAGACCTGTACCCATTCATGTAAGTGCAAAACTCTGTCTCAAGTTTCAACTGCAAAATGTATGCATATTTTACCATGTTTTACTACAAAAGGCCTTATTTTAAATTACTTACAATTATATAAAAAGTAAAAAATTCACTTCCCACACCTGTAAGTAAAATTATGGCATTGGGTTGCCTGAAAACAGTGATGCCTATTAGAGGGCTTCTAAATGTGCTCCAAATTACAGCTTTCCAAGCATTCACTCAACGCTTCTTTTCACAAAGCATTTGCTCAGAGAATATCACCTGTGTGGCATCCTGTTAGGTGCTGAGGACACCACAGTGAATGATGCACAGTCCTTGTTCCCAAAGAAGTCATCCTCCAGGGGATGATGGAGACAGACAAGGAAGCAAACAGCTATTATTCAGAGCAAGAGGCACCATAAGTCAAAGAAGAAAACAGAGCAGGAGGACTTCTTGGAAGAGGCGGAGAAGGGCAGGGCTAATGCATGCAGAGGGGAGGGAATGTGGGTATGTTTAGGGATCAGCAAGAGCACGAGCTAACATGGGTCAGTGACCAGGCAGAAGGCTTGACAGCAGCAGAGAGACTGTGCAGAACCCAGGGACTGTGTAGGGGAGGCTGGAAGGCTCCTCCCCAAGCATTATGTAGCCCATGGTTATCAAGTGACCGGGTGAAGAGCAACCCATGCAGTGTTGTGACTATGCACTGAACTTTATATTCATCTCCATACCTCCAGGACCTAGCAAAATGCTTGGAACATAAGAGGTCCTCATGTTGTTTATCAAATGAATAAGGCTTTTGCAAGAATCCAAGAAAGCAAAGCAAAGTGTCAATGAAGGCAGTGAGGAAAGAACAGGGTGAGAGACATTTTAGAGCTTTGTGAGTATTTAGAGAGGATGAGGAAGAAGAGCATTCAGCCATGATCAGTGTGTCCCACTTAGGTGTCACTGAAGGCAGTAGTGCCATTCACAGGAACCTGGAACAGTGGAAGGGGAGTGGAGTGGCTTACAGAGAGAGAGAGAGAGAGAGAGAGAGAGAGAGAGAGAGAGAGAGTGTGTGTGTGTGTGTGTGTGTGTGTGTGTATAGATAATAAATTGTTTGGGGAAGACTGGGGAAGACATCTGTAGTACATCCAGGTGAAATCCAATTGGCACTTTAAACTTTGGACCTGAAGTTCAGAGAGAGGCAGACCAGCATTAAAATCCCAGCTGAGTCATTGACATTGACCTGGTAGCTGAAGCAAAAGGCCTTAAACAAGGTGACTAGAGGGCACATAGAAAAGAAGAGAAAGACACAACTAGAAACTTGGAGAATGCTGAGGCGCTGGGACATAAAAAGGAGTCTGAAAAAGCCTGTGCTGGAGCAGTCTGGAAGGCAGGAGGAGAGGCAGGCGGGAGGGAACTGTGGACTCTGATAGACCAAATAGTCGTTATATTAGTGTTTCAAACTCTACAGCAATTGGCACTAACGGTCCATTGGAAAGTATTCACTTTGAATTTCAGTTTTTCATACGGGAGCTTTGAATAGACCCCCAAACTTGACAAACAAAGGTAAAACACAGAAGAAATCTCTTCAATCTGATCTAAATACATCATCCCAGATAGTCCATAAACTGTGTACTGTATGTGCTTAGGGCTGGGTGATGACAAGGAGGAACTGTTAACAGAATGTAGGAGCCACATGGCCGGCCTGTCAAATTAGAAATTTGAGCAGATTTCTGTGGTCTATTTTGATCAAGATTCTCAATGTCAAACAAACAGGTTTTTCGATAACCAACTTCTTTCATTTTCGTAAGCACAATAGCACAGTGTGCAACAGTTAGTGAAGCAGGTGGTCCTCGTCGACGTGAAATGAAGGGAACAGAAGAAGAGAAGTAGCACTTCCTTCAAGACATGCAAAGCACCACCGCAGACGGACATGGCTGTAGATTTTCCCTCTGAGAGCTTATCTCCTGTGCAACACAGGCAAGCCCCCTCCCCACGCCTCATTTTGCTCTAGTACAAATTAAAACTCTCTCCTAAGGAGGAAAGGGCTTAGGGTACATGTCTACAAACTAATGACACTTACAAAAGCACAGAAAAGTCCTTTAAAAGAATTGCTATCTAATTGGTACAGCCATACAGAAAGCAATCTGGCATCCGATGCATAGCTTTGACCAAGCATTTCTACTTTAGGGGTTCTATGCTAAGGAAATGAGGCAAAATGCAGATAAAGCCTTATGCATAAAGATGTTCGCTGAAATGCTATTTATAATAGTGAAAAATTATAAACAACCTCAGTGTCCAACAGTAGGAAAACGGTTACGTTGTGGTATATCCAAATAGTGGGAATGATAGGTGGCAAATTAAAAATTATTACTGAGAGTAGATAAAAACATGTAGAAATTCCCAAGCCATGTTAATTAAAGACATAAAATTACAAAGCATATCAATTATGCATATTTATACAAAACATATATTTAGACAATAAAGACTAAGAAGGAGATTAGTAAAATGCTAACAATGGTTCAATCTGGAATAATGGTATCGTGGATAATTGTAATTTCCTTCTTCATGATTCTATGTACATTTTATATCACATTTACTACAATGAAGAATGCAATATTGCTATAGCGATTAGAACAAACATTTTGAAAAGCAAATCATTTCCCTTCCCTCATTCAAACCCTTAAAGAACCCTTTCCTCCTGCCTCCTTGACTCTCTCTCCCTCAACCCGTGAAAATCCACAGTCTCTAGGCAAAGTGGGAAAACCCTGAAAACAGAGTCCAATGCAGAGCGTACAAGCTGAACGCTCAGCTCTGTGCACCTGGGAGGTGCTGCTTCGGCACGCTCCCACATGCAGAGCTGTGACTGCCGAGACTGGGTCTCTCCACCGCCACACAACGAAACAAAGCCCCAGGTAGAGCCATCTGGGGAGGAAAGAAGCCAACTTACCTCCATTAAACTTAAATGGATTCCTATGAGGTAGGGCATGGGAGCACTGTGAAGAGAAACAGAGACACACAGCTGCTTTAATGTCTGTTGCTTCTGACAGAAAATTACAGATGGTTCACTATTTGGAGAAAAACTGTTTTAATAAACGTATGCACAGTTACATTTCCTTTCACAACAAAAATCCTAATATGACATTTTGTTCCCAAGCCTTGAAACTTCAGAAGAATTTCAAAACGTGGGCAGCATTGGAAACAGCATGGGTATCAGGAAGAGCATCAACCTTGGTATTAGTCCCTAAAGAGCAGCTCTGCAACTGCACAGCCTCAGTTGCCTTATCTTTAAAATGGAATCCTGGATTGCAGCCAGCATGTTGTTATTAGAATCAAAGAAAATATACGTTAAATGATCAGCAGAGTTCTAATACAAATGGGAATGATTATTGCCATGATTACAACAGAAAAAGCAGTTAAGGTTGGATGAAGGGCATAATGTGTTTCAAAGAAGAATATTTTGTATTTTCTGCTTCCTCTGTCATCAAGAGATGTGATCTAACTGTCCATTCTGATTGGACAAAGTACTTGGAGAGCTGCCAGCAAGCATCTCCTCCCCAGTTGCACACATGCCATCCCATGACACTATAATTCAGAAAGCCTCTGCCAACTGCTTCATTCACAGAGCCACGGGTTCCCTAAGTCAGTGACCGAGCAAAGGCATGAGAACTCCACTCTAGTGGGTTTAAAACCTGGGCATTTTGGATACACCGGTCCTGCCTTTGGTTTCAGGGGTTGGTGTGTACGTGTGTGTGTGTATACATTATCATTTATGTTACCTACCAATAACAAATGTGCTAGACATTATATGAGGAAGTTTAAATTCATCTATTCTAATCCACACAACAACTTTGCAATACCCATAGATACAACACCCATTTTACAGAGAAGGGACTAGGCCTAAAGAGGTTAAATCACTTACCTAACACCACAAAACAAAGTCAGTGGTGGACTTGGGATTTGACTCCCAAATATGCATTTCTTCCTTTGTACCACACTGATTTTGTAATACAGAACCTGAAATCCCCAAGCTCACTTCCCGTGCAATGCTTTCCTTTGGGTCAGGGGAAGGAGGTCAAGGAAGAGTGAGGAAGGGTGTGACTGGCAACTTTTCCATCTATCTCTCTAGTATGGGATGTATTCTATGAAATGTGCAGATGGTATTTTGTGAACCTAGAGAAAAGATACCTGACTCAGACTGGGGTGACCAGGTACTTTTCTTCTGGGGCAGCTGGTAGAGTAGAGGTGGATGATCAAGGATGGCTCTTTGGGGACAAAGTTGGAGAAACAAGGATTGGTAAGTAATGAGACAGGAGAGGTTTGCTTCCAACTGAATACTATGGAGTTTAGGCTTTATCCTGAAAGCAATGGATAGGCAAGGGAGGTTTCTAAACATCACATGTATATTGTTAAATTGCTCAAACACTTAAAAATAAGAAAGGGCATGATTCCCTCATTACCATTCAACAAATAAAATTCAAGCAAAAATCCTTTCTTTCCCTCTTTCCCCAGAATATAAAATGTCCTCCTTACCACAGATCTCAGCAGTAATATAATATGTCTTGGGAACATGTAAAATAGACTTGAATATTAGCAGCTCAGTTTGCTAACTATTCTAGAAGACTTTTGTATTTGATAATAGCTAAAGAAAGAACTATATACACAACTGCAGTGAAAGTGGAGTTGTCTTTTCTTCTTCTCTTTTTTTTTTCTTTTTTAAGGTATCTGCTGTGTGCATTCAACTTCTCTTTGCTTCTAGGGGCAAGGAAATGCCCTGTGACATTTTTTTTTCCCCTAAACTGTAAACCATTAGTTTAGCTGCCAGCTACACAAATGCTCCAACTTCCCAGTGTGCCTGGCTCTGCTGTCCAAGCTTTTTCCAGTGTACACTGAAATGAATGTGTTTCTAATTAAGTAGCTTCAGGAACACGACAGCTTCAATGTCAAAAATACAAAGTCTGAACCCTGGCAGGAAGTCTTAAGACTGCAAATGTCTCATCTAGTGGAACCTTGCCTAATGTAATGAAAGGAAGCAGGAAGAGTACAAATTCCAGAAAAATGGCCACTTATTAATGTGACCAGAAGCACAGCCTAACACATAGAAGGGAGAAAGCGCAAATCCATAATATTTAACTAAATCTTATCACCTTTCCCATGTCCTACATTTAATCATGCAATTGACCAGTGACCATGAGTTTTAACCAGAATTGTAGAACTGAAATTCCAACAAACGAATTAATATACAGAAAAAGACATTCAAATGGCTGAAAATAAACATGTATACCAAAAGCCCTCTGTATAACTTAACCATAGGATCTTATGTATGTAGACTTTAGTGCTATGCCCTTTTGTCCTACAATAAAAATCAGTCACACCCTGAAAGGAAAAAGGGACGTCATGGAAAAGACTGAAGATGCAAGAAAGGGCAAAATGGAACTCATTCTTCAAGTATCTTCAGATAGGCATTTTTAAAAGCCCAATAATTTTCCAAAGAGTAATTATGGCCTATCGTAGAAATGTAGTTTTCTTAGCCAAGTATTGTTAGAACTGCAACAGCTCTGTATTTAGAAAATATTTAAAACACATTTATTCTGAAATCATAGCAGCTCCATGTTTTGTATGAATGTAAATTTGGACAAATACCTTTTACACTGTCATCATTTACGTACAAAGCCTCAGATATTTCCCTGAATCTACTGCATGTTTGCTCTGCAAATAGATAATTACGAATTCCAAGTGGTGACAGGGAGAGGGAAGAAAAAGAAACCCAGAATTTCCTGAACATCTCAATGTGGTACTTATCCAATTGGGTAATTCTAGGTACAGTCTGAAAACAATTTCTATTCTCAATAATTATTGTAGCTACTGACTCAGTTTCTTGGAAACCTCTTCTTTGTCTTTTTATTTTTAAAAGAAATGTTTGGGGAGAAAAACACCTACCCATGATTATATTATCCTAACACAATTACTTTTTCTTTTGCATTCCTTTCTAATACTGGCTCACATTAAACAGGTTTATATCTTCGAAATCATAAAAGGCATACATTGTATTATTTTCTCATTGGCTACATGAACATTTCCCAGATTGTTCTATAATTTTGTGATTATTAAAGACTGCATAATATTCCACCAAATATGGATGTACCATAATTTATTGAATGCTATCCCTAGAGTAGACATTAAGTTGCTTCTAACTTTTCACTATCATAAGTATCACTGTGATAAAAATGAACACCTTCATGTTGCATGAATTCCTAGACACAAATTACTAAAAATTAAAGGACAGGGCTGTTTCTTATTGTTTGTTATATCCTAGCAGAGCGTTTTCCAAAAAGGCAGTACCTGGCCTAGTGGAAATCTTTCAGGACTGTTGCAGAGATTAGAGACAACCTCCGAGGTACCTGGCACAGGTGCAGCACATGGTAGGGTTCTCTCTGAGCCCCTGGCATGGCTGGCACCATTGGACCCACTCTCTTACTACCCACAGAATGGTTTCTTGTTCCAGCCCTGGTTCTGTAGGACACCCACTCCAGGATACCCGGTAAACTGCTGGTAAGAATGGTCAAGATGCCATGAGGAATGGGAGGTGCTTGACAGGCACAAGTCATCTCTACACATGGATTTCTGACTGCCAAGCACACTCCTGTCTCCTGGATACTCCACTGAGTTCAGGAGGGTTGCTTATCACTTTCTTCAGGAGGCTGCCTTTCCTTTCTAATGTACCACCAATAATGGAAAAACTATCAAGAAAACAATGGTTCATGACTTTCTGATCACTTGGACACATTTTTAAAAACCTCTTATCACTCTTGAGCATACATTAAAAATAAAACATAGCAAAATAAACTGGGTAAGCTTTTTTTTTTTTTTTTTTTTTGAGACGTTGTCTTGCTCTATCACCCAGGCTGGAGTGCAGCGGCGCGATTTCGGCTCACTGAAAGCTCCACCTCCCGGGTTTACACCATTCTCCTGCCTCAGCCTCCCGAGTAGCTGGGACTACAGGTGCCCGCCACCACGCCTGGCTAATTTTTTGTATTTTTAGTAGAGATGGGGTTTCACTGTGTTAGCCAGGATGGTCTCGATCTCCTGACCTCATGATCCGCCCACCCCGGCCTCCCAAAGTGCTGGGATTACAGGCGTGAGCCACCGCGCCCGGCCTTAAGTTATTTTTTTAAAAAACTTCTTCATGTTCAGAATCCAACTCATCTGAATCCTTTTCTGATCCAGAGGCATCAACGTCCATGTTTTTCCAAGGGTATCTCAGTTACAAAACCAAACCAAAATCCATCTAGAAGTGATCTTCCTGTTTAGGTCCTTATTTGTTGCTGTTCTGGAAAATTTGAATGGAAATATCTACACTTCAGTAATAGCAAATGTATATACTCTGCTTCTCTGCTCCGGCGCCCTTCAGCATTCACAGTGACTTTACCTTTCAGTGTTGAATCCTAGCGCAATTGTGAAGACATTTTAAACGGCAATTAAACAACATGTGTAGAACCAACAATGCACATAATTAAATTAAAGCGGTGATAATATTAACAGTTATAACCAAACTTACGCATAGGCGGGTCATGACAACCATGTCACAACTGCCGTATGGCTGACAGTGATTGTAAGGATGCTACTGTATATCTTGGAATAGCAGAATGGGGTGTATCTGTACGAAGCTTTTGTTCTCTGGGAATTGCTGCACTATCTGATTTCATCAGTTTCATCAGTTACGGGAGAGTAAAAGTGACTCTCTTTTCCTTCTACCCTGAAAAGGAAAAGGGCTCTGTTGCTGGTGTTGAGGCAGACACAATAGAATAACCTTTACCTGGAAGATATCTTTAGTTTGAATCCTCTTAAAGAGGAAAAGGAACTTTTATTGAACCACTATAATTCAGTCACTTTTATGCATTACAGACATAATGCTCAAGGGAACTCTGCAAAGTGGTGCTATCATCCATATTTTCAGGTTAGGAAACAGGCTCAGAAAGACAAAAGTAATTTGCCA